TTGGGGAGGGGGCCACTTGGGAAGCCGCGCTGGGGCCGGACAGACGGCTTGACTTACAGCAGGCGATGTCCAACAGCTTGCAGTGGATCGACGGGACCCACAGGTTGGAGGAGCCGGTGTCGAAGACGACAGTGAAACACTGTGGGGGCGTCCCGATGCCGATCTCCCCGTAGTACTGGGCCTGGGGGAGCGAAGGGTCTGTCAGCCAGGGGAGGGGCACCCGGGGTCTAGACTTGCCATAGGCTGTCCATCTCCATCCGCCACCCCCAGACCCCGGGGTGGAGCCCCACCCCTGCTTGGCCAGGGTGAGAGGAGGGAAGACACACCCCACCCCCATTTGAAACATAAAATCAGGGTCCAGTCAGTCAGGACAGGCTCTGCCGGCCACCTGAGCCTCGGGCGGGAGGACCGCTGTGGTCCAGGGCCCTGAAGGGAGAGACTGCCTCTCCAGGATGGGGGCCAAGTCAGGGCCCGACTCTGGGCCTCAGTTCCTACCCTGCCCTGCTCCTGCCCTACAGGGCCAAGCCTGGAGGGCTTCCAGGCAGAGGAGTCCGGGTGGCTTAGGGGAGAAGAGACACCCTGGAGGTTCGAAGTCCCACATGGCCCAGCCTCTCTGCCTTCACTGCTCTGGGCCTCAGTCCCCATCTCACACAGGGAGCAGGGTCCGCTGGGGTGCTCCACTGAGCATAAGGGGGCATGTGCCCCTATGAACCTCAATCCTTGGCCCTCTCGTAGGTCAGAGGGTATGGGCCTTCTTGAGCTTGTGGTCACCTGGGCCCTGCCTGCCTGGGCATCCCCTCCCCCCGGGGAAGGAGCCTGGGACACCAGTCGCCACAGGATTCTGGCACCGGTCCTCCCCCCGGGGAAGGAGCCTGGGACACCAGTCGCCACAGGGTTCTGGCACCGGTCCTCCCCCCGGGCATCTCTCTGGCCGCTGGGCTCCAGTGAGCACCGAGCTGCCGACTCATGGAGTGTCCGGATGGGGGTGGAGAATGACTCAGCAAATACCCGGATGGGGGGATGGAGAATGACTCAGCAAATACCCGAGCGTGTGGGCACTGAGAGAAATCAGGAACTGGTCAGTTGACCCTGGGCAGACGGCCCCCCTCCACCGGCCGGATCACATGCCTGAGGCTCCGGCTTCCTGGCATGGCCGGGGCTCGGGACGGACAGGACAGAGTGCTCAGCCACTGTCCCAACCCCACGTGGACCCAAGGCTGAGGGCAGCGAGAGGCCGGCTCCCTAAGACTCGGGTGGGGCACCGTGAGAAGCCCCAGACCTGGGCTAGGCTGGCCCAGCCCCAGCTTGCTTGTGGCTTCCAGAACGTTCTGACCCTGAGCCTCTGTCCCGCTCAGGCAGCAGGCACAGACTGGGACACAGGTTGCCCCAGGCCTGCCAGCAGGTGGGCAGGAACACAAGCTCCATGCAGTTAGTTACACCCCAGCGGGCAGGCCCAGGTACCCGCTCTCCAGCCTCCCTCGAGGGGGGGCCTGTGCCTGACTCTGGGCTCCCCACGCTGGCCAGTGGCCCTGGGCCCAGCTCCTCATCTGGGAGGGTGACGCTGTCCCCCCTCCCCACAGGCTGGCCCCGAGGAGGCACCGCCCAGCTCTGAGCCCACGGTCAGTGGCCCGCAGAGGCCAGCGTCTCAGGTGCCACGGTCACCCCAACCCTGGCTCTCAGCTGGGCAGGAGAGCGGGCTGTGCAGACCCCAGAGGTGAGAGCCGCCATCAGGGAGGGGGCGTGGCCGAGTGGAAGCTCCTCCCACACAGGGCAGGTAAGCCCTCAAAGGCTGGTGCTGAAAGCAAGAGCATCCCTCCAAAATGCATGCGGCTCACTCGGACCTTTCCCTAAAGCCATGTTTTGGGTCAGCCCAGCCAACCGCCCCCCCCAA